TAGAATTTTTTTTTTCAGAACAATGAGTTACAAAATGTGCATAAGTGGGTACAAATTGAGCTAAAGAGTTACAAAACTTGAATAAGTGTATGCAAATTTTTTCCATAATAATGAGTTACAAAACTTGAATAAGTGGGTATGAAATTGATCTAAAGAGTTACAAAACTTAAATAAGTGGGTACAAATTTTTCTCTAGAACAATGAGTTACAAAATATTATCCACATAATATCAAACGAGTGTAACAAATAAACAACATTTACAATGAACATCATGTTACTTCCACTTATCCACATAATATCTTCCACATATTGCATACACAACAACAACCAAGGAAAAAAATTAAATACTATTTACAAAAATGGTGAATCGCGTGCATACAAGAGAGTTGTACAAAAGTTTGCTCTATACTTTGCACAATCTCCTTCTGAGATTGTTATTGATTGCTTTTCAACAATGTTGTTAATGAATTCAATCATAAAGATCCTGCAATCTAAGGTTCTGTATTTAGAAAAAAAATTACGATATTGAAAATGACTTTGAGAAAAAAATGAACTATTACATTAGAAATACATGAAACACATACAGTCCTTGTTGAGGCACGTCAACTCACACAAGAACATGGTGCTCCAATTTCCACAATGTCCAATTACTCTCTATGAAACTCATAAACTTATTTCTAAATTTCGCAGCATCGACGGTATAAATGGGGGAGTTGATTGAGGAGTAGTGATATAATTTTTTTTTCTCCTCTCTCACTAACTCTACCATGTGCCAATGTCCAGAGCTGACAATCGGGATTAAAATTCTTTCACACTCTTAAGAACTTCCAAGAAATATTTTTCTACATTCATTTTGCCACCATTTCAAGATTCCCTTCCAGAAATGCTTGCTAAAAGATGCATCAATGTGAATGGTGTAGGGTAACATAATAATAAATATCACCAACTAATAAAAAATACGGATATACTTACTGCAAGCCAATGTCTTGTGACATATATCTTTTGATCATAATTATTAGTTATTTCAATCTTGTAACAAAGCCGAATAACAAATGCATCGATCACCTACAAAATTTACCATGAATGAATAAAATATTTAATATAAGCTAAATATATACAACATCAACCAAACTATGACACAATTGTTTAGCACCTACATCGTCACTGAGTTCACCTCATGTTAATAGCTTATAAGCATCTAAGCGAGATACGCTTGCTTTGGCACACTTCTAAATGAACGTATCACTATATGCAAGTACGTGGTGAGAAAATTACCATTGAAATAAGTAAATTTAAAGATTATTATTAGAATAAGTCATTAACAATTACATGGTCATTTTCAATTATAGAAAGTTGACTATTAATTTGTCCTCATAATCATATACCATTGCCTTTCCTGGATAGTTGTGAGATGTAGGTATGAAGCCTCCTTTATTTTTGCACCTTTTTTTAGCCCCCTCAGGACTATCCAATATCTGGATGACACGTTTCTTCTTTGTGCCTTCTTTGAGTTGATCTAGACGCAAATAAGGTGAGGTAACAGAGGGTCCATCCTTCCTCTTCCTCTTTCTGACAGCCCGTTTGATAGATGAGGTTTCTCTCTTATTATCATTACCACCTTCCTCTTTTTGAGAAACATCTCTATAGAGTTGAAATGCATATAATTAACAAAGAGTTACACAAGTATTATATGAAAAGTATAAAATGTAAAATTTCAAGAGAATTGAAAAATCTAAACTCACTGAGCATCTTCTAAAATTTTCATGTCTCTTGGGCTCATCACAAAGTCATCATCAATATCGGCTTCCTCATTTTCTTCCACATTCTCATATTCATTAGCTTCCTTATCCTCTTTGCTTTTATTTTCTTTATTTACATTTTCGTTATCCTCTTTCTTATTATTTTTATTTATGCATCCAGCACCACGCTCTTCTAATTCTCGTAATTCGGTAGTAAGCTCATTCAACTCGTACGTCTTCTCGGCAATTAAGGAAATTTATTCAACTTTCCTTGATTCCTATAAGACAAAAAATATACAAGTATTAGTACTTATACTATAGTCGCAGATATAGATACTAAAAAAAGGGACATAAAATCTTTAACTATTAGAGTAAAGATATGTATAAATACTTCTGGCGATGCCCTATGAATAAGAGGAGTATTCTCTTGGCCAATATCCGTAAGAAACTTCGGATCTCTATATAATTTGTTCTTAGTAGTCCTCCTCCACTTTCCGGTATTCTTCACACAAAAGAGCAGTAGTAATGTTTCAATATCTGAAGTACACTCTAATTCCCCCACTTTTTTATAAAACTAAACCTACAAAAAAGAAACTATACATTAGCATGTGCATAAACAATAATCATTATCAAAATGAAAAGTTATACAAAGTAATGTTCATGTAACTCACTAGTAAAACAGAGAAAAAACCACTCATGTACCCAACATTTGAGCACTGACCTAATCCCCTCATACTAAGAGATTTCTTTGTTTTATTCATCTCTTTGTAAAAAAAAGTAAACACCGCACGACACCAATTATATTTCTTCAAAGTAGATAACCACTCCACATATCTAAACACCCACAAGGAACATGTCTGCGGGCATAATATGAAGCCGATAATGAAAGCCACAATAAGTTTCACACATATTATAAGGTCTTTATTAGTCATATCTACAATTATCTCGGCCATTCTATCGCGCTTCCCCCAAATCACCGTCTTCTTTTCCTCATCGACTTTCTTCTTGCCTTTAGAGCTACTACTCTTCTTCTCCTTGAGTGTCTTATAATTCTTTACAAATTGGGTGTAGATTGTATTAGCAGCTGTACCGCTCATTTTTATCGGAATTCCCTCCTTTGGCAAACTGATAATTCGGTGAATATCATCTATACCAAACACGCAATTTTTATCCCCAATCATAAATGAGTATTTATCAGGATTAAAATTTTGAATCTAGCAATCAATTGCTATTTGCTCATTGCTCAAGGATGTGGGTATCTTGAGAAAGTTGTGAAAATGTGTCATCTCAAGGGCTTTTATGTGTCTTTCATCCAATACTATACACTTATCAATTAAATCTCGAAAATAACACAAATTGGACGGAATTCTCAATTATGTTATCATAGCCTTACAAGAAAATTATAATTCAGAAGAAGTTAAAAATTAAATATATTTGGGCAAATTAAGAATAGCTAATGATATATTACATGCCGAAAAACACGCATATAAACACAAATATTATGCCTAAAATAGATACTTGATATGACAATAATCACAATAAATTTTACAAGTGTAAATTAGTAGGCAATAAACATGCATAAGAACTTCATCAAAAAATTTTCTTACTAAGATGGAGGATTATTGCATTTAGAAGAGGAAGACTTTGATTTTGAAGAAATCAAAGACGCCGACGCTTTCAATTTGTTCGAAACCATGACTTGGGGGCTACAGCTACGGCGATGAGGGAAATTGAGGAATAGAGCGGGTGAAGAGGTTGTGGCGAGCATCGGCGGCGGCGATGGTGGGCGGACTGTGGCGGAGGAGAGGAGGAGATGGAGGAGAGGAACTCGCGGGGGACTGTGGGCTCTTGCGGCGGGAGGGAGGAGGGGGAGACAGAGGAGGAACCGACGGCTCTCACGCGGAGGAGACGAAGGAGCAAAGGCGGGAGGAGGAGGGAAGGAGACGAGACGTGCGAGAAGGGGAGGGAGAGGGAGGAGAAGGGGGACGACGACCGCACAAAAGCGAGGAGGGGAGAGCCGAAAGGGCGGCGGGAGAGGGAGGGAGCGAGGGGCCGAAGGCGGCTCTCCACGGGAGGAGGAGGGGGGAATCTAGGTGGAAATCGGCACGTGCGTGGGCGGTGAGTCCACGTGGCTGTGGCCAAGGAGAGGGCGATAGAGGAGCCGGGTTCAATTTTGGGGCTGAGGGATAAAATTTTTGGGGCTTTTTGGGCGTAGGTGAATTTTTGAATGGATGACTGAGATCCGTTTGAGGGTTAGTAAATGAACGGCTCAGATTATGCATCTTTAGATGCTACCTAATGAGGCACCTTAGGTCCATATTACCCTTATGACAAACATGTTGTGTGCATCAAAGTATCGCAACATAACACATGCATTGGTATTAAAGTTTTTTTTAACATTACATTAGGACAAGCTAGAATTACACACATAATCCACATAAAATGAAATAAAAAAAACTACATTTTCATCACAACAAGCAAAGTTAATGTCACAAACAACCCAACAAACACCATTGAAACTCTATTGCAAAATGCATTCTCCAACTTCACTATGTTCTCTCTCTCTCAAATACAACTCATATCTCCTCAATTCAATTTCTTAGTCTTTTAACTTGTCCTCTCTAAATTTCAATTTTAGATTCTTCGATGCCACTCTCTCTTCTATACCTCCTCCATCCTTGCACTCCTCTTTAAGAAACTCTTTTCACCAATTAGTTTCTTGATTGCAAATTGAGCTTATTGGGGTAAAGTTTTGTCCTTCCATTAAAAAACTTCACTTTGACGCTAATCTATAGTTGAGACGACCAAAGCAGCGACCTCTATAATTTTTAAAGATCCAAGCCATCTTCACGAAAGAAATATCATTGCAAAGACAAACCCTACTCTCTTTCTTATCAACTTCAAAACTCAACGAAGGTAAAGAACATGAACAGCTGTTAGCAAACTTCATTGATCTCATTTCAGTGTGAAATGGAAGAAAAAGAGGTGAAAGGGAGGAGGAGAGAAGAAAGAACTAGGTTAAAATGAAGAGAGGGGTGAAAAATAGTTCAGATGGTTTTACTATAAACTAAAAGCAGATGAATAGGTAAAAACATCATAATGAAACATGAATATCACATTAGAATCTAATAGGGTAAAATTTAACAGAGGGTATCAACACGTAATTTTTAAAAACTTTATGGTATTTTGTTGCAACAAATTTCAATTTATGGTATTAACATGCCAAAATGGAAAACTTCATGGCATTTTAGGGCAATTTAGCCTTACGCTCTCTCTCTCTCTCTCTCTCTCAGCTCTCTGTTCTCTCCCGACTTTTCTCTCTCTCCCAAAACCGAGTAAACCTCGGGTCCCGTCGCCGCTCGCACCTCCTGTCGCGGACGCCATCACGCAGCCATCTTTCCTGTCTTCGGTCGCTGCCGCCGTTCGTGTCTTCGGTCGCCGCCGCCGCCCGCACCGATTGTCGCTGCTGCCGCACTCACCGCTGGTCTCCGCCGCGGCCTACTTCTCCTTCTCCTTCTCCTTCCCCCTTCATTCTAAGGTATGTTTTCACGTTAGTTTTTATTTTTTAGCAATTCTTATGGTTTATTGTTTTATTTTGTTTGAGTTTCTCAAATTCAAAACCCTAGTTAACCTTAAACGTGATCCAACCCCTAACTTAAAAAATCCTAATTAAATCCTACTAGATCTAACAAAAATTATCCTCATCCTAAGCCCTAATAACATTGCAGTAAGTCTAGAACCGTAATTAAAACTAACTTTCACCTTATTTTCATCTCTAATGAAACTAATTTAACTTTCCCAACTATAATCTTAGTTCTAATAACCCTACTTGAACAAATCTAACCAAAATTATGCTAATCTTAATTACATTCCCAAGTCTAGAACCCTAATTCAACTAAATTTAACCCAAATATCACATTAATCCTAACATTAATTAGCTAATATAACTTTAATAGCTCTACCCCTAACCCTATTCGTGGTAATTAATTAAACTAATCTACCCAAAATAATGCTAATAATAACCCTAATTAAACTAACTTTCTCCTTTATTTCATCTATAATAAAACTAATTTAACTTTACTAACCATAATCGTAGTTCTAATAACCCTGATTGAACAAATTCAACCAAAAGTATGCTAATTTTGACCTTAACTACTTTACCAAATCTAGAACCCTAATTAAACTAAATTAAACCCAAACATCACATTAATCCTAACTCTAACTAACTAGTATAACTTTAATAGCTCTAACCCTGACCCTATTTACTCTAATTAATTGAACTAATCTAGAAAAATTATGAACTGCTAAGGTTTTTGACTTAAGTATGCCCTCAAACTCGAAAAGAAATGGACTATCTCTACTATTGCGGCTTTGCTTACTATGACATTTTGTTGGGTTGGCTTTCAACCCTGAACAATCACTACATTCCTTCAAACACTTATAGAGGTACTCATTGAATTATAGTCACCTCTCCCAAACAAGAGGAGGTCATCACCAAAGATTAAATGAGTAATACAAAGTCTCAAACATTTAAGTCAAAAAAATAGGGAGGGAAAACAAAGAAAAGCCACAACAGTAGAGATTGTCCATTTCCTTTCGAGTTTGAGGGCATACATAAGTTGAAACTCTTAGCAGTTCATCACTTTTTTAGTATCTGATCTTCTAAAAGAGGGTTGCAACTAGGGTATGAATTATTTTTTGGATAGACATAAGCTAAACACCGTGCAAGCCATATCACTCTAGATCTTTTATTCTTTCTAAATCTTGACTGGAATGAGGGGCAAAGCCAATGAACCGATGTTAGGGATAAGCATATGACGTATGATCTTGAAGACCTCTGGATTGAGTTATTTTTGTGGCAAGTTTAATAGCCATTTTGATTTTGCTGATGGTTGGCTGAAACTTGGATGTTGTGTATAAGATTCACTCCTCATTTGGTACACGAGAAACGAGTCAAGTGAGAATAGAATGAAATAAGAAATGAAGTGGAGTAAGTTTGGGAATGGAATGTTTATTTTCATTCTTATGTTTGGGTGCGAATAGAGAATGAAATGGGAATGTCAATCTTTTTCATTTTTGGTATGGATAATTAATAAGCAATCGCATCATTAATTCAAAAATTTGATTCCGACTTAAGTGGGAATGCACATTCCCTACCATCTCATTGTGCATGCTCATTCCCACATAAATTGGGAATGAATGAGAAATGAGAATGTGCAGTTCTAGCTTGTACAAAGATGTTGTGTTTAGTACATATGAATGAGAAATGAGAATTAACATTCAATTCCCACCGATTCCCGTGTACCAAACGAGGCGCTAGTGTCGGGAGATTTTTCTTTGGGTGTTGGGGTGGGGTTAGGTTGAGGTTGGGCAGGGGAGATATAAGGAATAAACATGTGAGAAGGCAGGCTTCTAATAAAGCTACCTGGTAGAAAGTGACCATTCAAGATAACAAGTCTGTACATTATTCTATTTTTGCACTGTGGGCATATGCGAGACACTTGTTTTTGGGCTAGGGTCTGAGGTGCTGGGTGCTTTCACAGTGTCCTTTGTCTTGAAATTCCAACAGGTAGGATAATGTGCACGTTATTGATTTCTATTATAGAAACTTTTATATTTAACTTACAAGTAAATGAACTATGTTTGTCTTTTGTTATCATGGTCATCATTGTTATTATTATAAACTAAACTGTATTCAAAGTTGGTTTGCAATTAATGCCACCCCATAATACAATTGTTTTTCTGATGTGCAATAAAAACTTTGGAATGTTGTTTCAGTTAGATCAGTTATAAGTGTCACTCTACCTCTTCTATATGATTCTACATTACTTTCTTATTGTTGAGGACATTGCTGATAATCATTGTGATTCCTGTGATCATTATAGATAATCATCAAGGAAGATAATGCAGTTCAGTTGTGCTTTTGCTGACATGCTGACTTGAGTGTGTCGAGAAGCATGATTTGAGGTAAGTATAACACCAGATATTTGTTAATCAGAAAACTAGTTTTATACCCAAAGCTTCTGTATCCATGTAATTTAAAAATTTGTCCGCATATGAAATTGTATTATTTTCAACTGAACCCAAAATTGGCACACATATGATGTTACCTATACTTGAGGGAATATCTCTCATTTTTAAACAACTATAGCATTTTGCTTTCAAGTATAAGACTATACAAACAACTGTATGTGTCTTAAACAATTCAATTTTATGGGTGGTTCATTTTGAAGTCCTTCATGGTGCAGAGAATTTTTTGGATATGGATGCATTTTCCATTGTTAAAATTTCACTTTCTTGATCTGAGTGCGCAGCTGTATTGTGGTTGCAGTTTACTGATTCTGTTTTCTTCCTTTATTGTCCCTATGTGTTTTGTCCACCTCAAACCGTCTTTTATCAGGCGAAATAAATATCTTATGTCTTCTTGGGGTGGAATTGGAGACGGTCCTGCCATCTTGCAATTGCAAAAATGGGGCCACTTGAAGTCTCAACTTGAACCATCAAAATATTGTCTAGCTTCTCTGTCCCCAACTAGAGAGCTGCTGCTGCTGCTTTCGTATGAGTGTGAAGCCCTATTACTTCCTCTGACTTTTGGTAAGTATGGGACTTCTTTAGTTTTTCTTTTCTGTTGCATCCGTTATTCTTTGTAATATCGCACATTTAAGGAAAACACTCTTCCTCTATTGATAAACAAAGATGCCCCAGGTAAGTCCTCTTCTGAAAATCTTCATGAACCAAATTCTCCAGAACCATCGAGCACATGCAGGTCAGAATCTATTGATAGTGCTCGGTGCAGTACAAAAGCTGGCGTTCCCGTAAAAAATATTCTTTTTCGAAATCGAGGCAGCTCTTCCTCATCTCAGTATCCTCCTGTGATCTCTGGTGTGAAGTCATTGGCTTGGGGACATTGTGGAGATGTGTATAATCAGTTTGAGGATTCAGTTTTTAAAGAATTTCTCATTGTATCCAGCGATAACGGAATTATAGTTCATGCTTTTCGTTATCAGCATAGAAATGAAGTGTTTCAATCTGTACCAGAAGGTGACTCTGTGGAGGGTAAGTGGGTGGAATGGGGACCTACTAATAACTCAGTGACGAAATCGAAGTTCTCACATTCAAGCACTGGTGAAAGCCCAAACGAACCCAAGATTATTGAAACATCTGGAACTGTAGATGTCTGCGATGCAGTTGATGATGGTGGTTCATCTGGTAGAAGTATTTTACCGAAAAATTGGTTCCAGACTTTCCATATGGAGCTGGATACCGTTGTGTCTAATGGTAAGTATTCAGCTAGGTTTCCTGCGAAGTCATCAATTCCTCTTTCTGCAGATGTTGTATCATTAGACATTGGTGACAATACTTCAAAATTCATAGAGTTCTTTTCTTCTTCTACTCTATATGGTGAAAAGGAGAATATAAGTGATGGACCTGTGGTTGGACAAGTGGGTGATCCATCTCTTTCTGATAGGTCATCTAAAGGTTCAGTAAAGGCTGGTGGAGATATTATATATAGGTGTTCGAGGGTGTTTAACAACTCCTCACATAGATTGATTGGTTTAGTATTGAATTTCCCAGAAGATGTATCTGATAAGAATAGTGAATTCCATGTAAGAAATACTGGCAAGGATTTTGTGGTTGTTATGATGCTGAATCAGTGGGGTTTGCAGTGGATTTGTTCTGTAGACCTTCAGCATCATGATCCCAGTTCGTTTCCAAGTTTAGAATGGGCAGATTTCCAGTTTTCCAATGACTTTCTTATCTGTCTTAACTCCTCAGGGCTAATCTGTATCTGGAATGTTCTGTCTGGTGGCCTTGTTACGCATTTTGATGTTTTGAAAAGCTGTGGACTGGACAGAAGTGCTTGTTTTAGGTTAAGTCAATCAGAACCGCCTGTAAATAGACATTTAGCTTCCACAAAATCAAACTTCAGTCAGGAAGTTGATAAAAAAATTGAAGTTAGTGGAAGAGAAACATGCGGTGACGAGATTGTATGTGCTAGAACTTTCAGAAGGTTGATGGTGATCTCACATTCTTTCCTTCTTGCTGTTGTGGATGATCATGGAGTTATCTACGTAATCAGGGCTGCTGAATATGTCTCAAAAAAATGTGCTACATTTGAAAATTTTGTTCATTCCTATAAATACTCTGATAGTAGCATGTTGGCAGGTTGGAAGGTTGCTGATTGTGAAATAGATTGTGCGAAAATTCTTTCGGATCTGTCAACCGACGGGTTTTCAAATAAAAATCACTCAGGTGCTACTAAATTTAGGAAAAGACATCACCATACTGATGGCAAAGAAATCCATAAATTCAGGAAAAGACACCACCATACTAATGGTAATGAAAGCGAATCATGTACCTATTCAAGTGGTTTTTCTACTTCTCAGATAAATGGTAGGAAAGTGTTTGCTCTTGAATCTGAGATCTCATCAACTCCTTTGCGCAAAGTTTTCCTTCCTTTGGACAGATTTAACAAAGAGGATTGTATTTGCTTTTCACCCATTGGAATTACTCGATTCGTTAGAAGACTCAATATGAAACAACAAAAGGTACATAAAATTGTACACACTAGTTTACATGTGGTTTCACCAGTCCTTGATGATATAGATCTGGGTACATACTGCTCTTCTAAAAGCTTTTCTTCCTCCCGAGAAGTTGCTTTCTCTGGGGAATCAATTGGATTCTCTTTTCAAGGCTGCTTGTATTTAGTGACCGAAGATGGCCTTTCTGTCATTCTCCCATCAATTTCGATTTCATCCAGTATTCTTCCTGCAGAATTCACCAGATACTGGCAACCAACTTTTACCGCAGGCAGCAAAAGTCAGATTAAAACTTTTTTGGCTATAGATGAAATGAAAGAGCTGGGAAGGCCTTGGCAAATAGAGGTTTTGGACAGAACTCTTTTATATGAAGGCCCTGATGAAGCTGAACGAATTTCTTTGGAGAATGGTGAGGGTTGGTTGGATCCCTGTTTGTTTGCTTCCCTTTTGCATATTGGGCTTTCCCTTCTAAAAGTTATATATTTTTTGTTTTCTGCTTTTTCTTCTCTTATTCATATAACTGTCATTCTTTTTGTGGGGACCTGATCATATTTTGCATGCTACCAGAGTAAGGGTATTTATCAATCTTGAAACTTGGTAACTCTGATATGAATCTGAATTTTTTTGGATGAAGTTGACTCGTCCTATAGATGTTGCAGAGCCTGGTGCCACGTCTTCTGATCAGCTAATCTGCCTCTACTTGTTATGCTTTCCTATTGCTAACATTTTTGAGAAATATGCATCCTTAGTTATGCGCAATACCATGATTTATTGATTGATTTGCTTGATTTTTGTAACCTATTCAATTGATGTAGTAAAGATGTGAACAAATGCTGAAGAAATGTTAACTGTTCTTGCAAGTATTTATTTGGTTGAATCTTTTAATTAACATTCCTATGTCGTGTCTCAATTAAATAGAAATTATTCAGTTGTCATGATAAATTTTTTCTTGGGTGCTACTTTATGAGACTGTTACCTAATACACTGTTCCCCTTGGACGCGTGAAACTGTTATTCCAATCCATACATCCAATTTGCAGTGCATTCCTTATCCTGATAGCCGACAACCTAAATCTAAAAGGAGATAACTAAGATTTATTGATTCAGTATGCTCTTTGCTGTATTCACTTTTAGTATTTAACCCATTGTTAAATAAATTGATTTGTGACTTTTTTGGCTTATATTGTCTTTAAAGTTTAAGTTTGGACTTTGATAATTTGATACAATTAGAGTATATTTAAGTCTTTTCTTTATCAACATGCATACAGACAACACGTGCATAGTTATCTAGACTTCCCTGGATAATGCTCGCCACATATACCGTTATCCCGAGCAATCTGGTTAAGCCTGCCTCCTTCACACGGTGTATCGCTCCAACTAATGAACCCCGTATGCTCCAACTAGAGCGTATTCTTACATGTGCTTGTACCACTAACCAAAGCATACAATGGAAAATAACATAGGCCTTTCTAGGTTTCAGATAGAAAATCTAAAGTTCTCCTATTTTCTCCCTTACCATCTGTATTGCATGAAGTTGTCTGTTGTGAGCTCATGGATATCCAAATGGGTAGTGAGTGACTGACTGGACAAGCTAAAGGGCAAGGTTGGGAACTTGGGGAGAAATAGCGTGGAGCATGTGGAAGAAGGGAGACAAGAGAAAACATATTCAGTTTAATTACACTTTAACATTTGAGTTCAAAGAAAAGGTTCAAGGTTTAATGCGGTCACTTATACTGTAGAATTCCTAAATGCTTAGGTGATCGATAATTGGTCTACCTAATGTATCAGGGATCATATATTACGAGTGCAGAGTATCTCCAATCCTGTCCACCCCATAATTCAAACTCTATATAAGTTGCTTAAGGTTTCTTGAAAGAAACAAAAGAAAGGAGTGAATTAGGGACCTATAATAGCGAAATGGGAAATATAAAAATATGAGGTAGGGAACAAGACATGACAGTGCTATGGAGGGAAGAGAAGATTGTAGAAGGGACTAAGGAAAGATGATGAATTGGGAAGGATTGTGATGTAGTAATAGTGGAAAAAGAAGCAATCCGGAATAAGAATTATGACTAGAAAAATTGAGACCTACAGCAGGTGGATGGTAGCATTTACTTTGTGAAAAGAAACTTGAGAATAAAAATCTATAGTAAATACTTCTGAGTAGGATTGTTACTTATATGAGAAGATACTAAAGGCATTATTCAACTATGTGATTTTTATTGAGAATTTAAAAGCAAAATAAAGTTAATAAGTATAGCGTAGACCTGTTATCTTGTTCAGCAGTGAAATTTTAGTTTGGTTTTAACTGTTTTATCTGTTTAACCACTTATAAATTGCAGGAAAGCTGTTCGAAAAATTAAAATGGTCATATAATTTAAAGAATATCAATGCTTAGGTTATGTGGCACACATCATGCTAAGATAATCTCCAATGCTTCAACTTTAAAGAGTCCTGTTTTTAATTTAAAGAATATCAATGCTTAGGTTATGTGGCACACATCATGCTAAGATAATCTCCAATGCTTCAACTTCATGAAATTAGTGAAATATAAGTTAAGTCCAGTCGGTTGGTTCTTTCTTTTTGTCTGAAATGAAACTTTCTTTTATACTTCTATGTGACATCTGCCCATGTTAAGTGATTTGTTTATGGTGCAAGAGAGCATTGAATTTCACATTTATTTTTGATATCTGAATATTGATCCGCGTAAAAGTATTCTTTTAGTATTAGGTTCGTAGTATTATATGAACTACTTTGGACCACCATGTAATGCAATGGTATGCAGATGAATTGATCTCTGAAATAACTTGTGCACCTGAGGTTGATTGCCACACATCTCTCTTTAGAATGATGTGGCAATGGATTTACCCTGCATTTTACACTGTCTTCATTGTGTATGCATCTGCATCTGTCTGGCTAGTGCAAGAATGTAATGGGCTGTTCAACTTTTTGAGGACACCATACTTTCATCTGGTGTTACTTTATCATGGCATATTTCTTTGATTGCTGATGCCTATCAATGTCATTGCAGGATGGGACTTGAGAATGGCTCGGATCCGTCGCATGCAATTGGCACTACACTATTTAAAAGCTGATGAAATAGAGAAGTGAGATTCTTATCCCACATCTTTCTTTCTTGTAGTCTTTATTCCTCTGTGATACGGTAAGAAAGCCATATTCTAATTAAAAAAATATGGGGTTCCAGATATATACCCCTCAGTTCGTTCATTTTTAGGGAGATGCCCGTCAAATGATCATTCCTGTGGATTAACCCCTCTAATCGTACGGCTTTTTGAAATTTGGCTCTGCATTGCTGTTGAAGGATAAAATGGGAATACTGCATTAATTACCCTAATATTTCTAATGATCTTTGAATATATATCCTTAAATATCAGAAAGGTACCCCTATGACATCCAAAATCAAATAAAAGATACTGAGAGGGAAAATTTGTAAGGCACACGTTCACAATTTAGGGTTAATGGTTTGGGGGCCAACTATTTAAGTATGTAATGTTTGACGGGTTATGGTTAAATTGGATTCAGTATAAGTGAATAAGAATCATATATGAACATGCATTTCATGAATATAACAACCTCTTATGCCAGCATGTCTATCATGATGTTTTTACCACAGGTTTGATCAATAAAGCATTAAATTTTTTGAAACTGGATTAAAATTTCTACTAAGACTACTCTTGTTCATCACAAACTGTCTGAAGCAAAGTTTTATGCATTTAGGTATCGGGTAATTATGAATTATCCCTCAAGGTAACTCTGTTCTAAATGAAGTTCTCTATTCTGGTATTATATATCAAGCGGAACACTTTTAGAAATTAAAGATAAGTGAATAGACATGGCTGTGAAATATGAATTTCTTGAAATCGAAATTTGTTCATTTATTTTAAGCCATCTGTTTATTGTTTGCTTTTAGCTTGAGTTATCCAGACAGGTTATTGTCATATATATTAGGGTCAATTGCAGATAGACCCCTTGTAGTATTGCTGTTATGAGCTTACGACTCTTCTAGCTTTATTTTTACAGATGGACCCCAATGAAATCTTTTTTGACTCTTTTACCCTGTGACTTTTTTTTGACTTTTTCTACGGTGAGAGAGAGACTTACAACGTCAAAAGGTACCCCCCCTCAGTGTAGAAGAGTCAAAAAAAGTTTCAGTAAGGGGTCCGTCTGAAAAAAAAACAAGAGGTATAGTGAGTTCCAAACAATGATACTACTGGTGGTCTATCCTTAATTAGCCCTATCTTTTATATCTAAATTCCTGTTAGTGTTAAGTAGTACTGATCAGATATATGATTGGACATGTGCATCTGTTCTTGTCAAAACTCAAGAGTTGCTGGGAGTTCAAAGTTCAAACATACCCTATCAGTCTACTTGTATGTGTATCAGTAATTCAATAAGCAATTGGCGTCCGTACAATATAGTTTTACTAACAAGTTCATGTTGTACTTTCTCTTCTGCAATCTTTGTACTGTATTCCATATATTTTATTGAAAATTTGTGTAGTTGAATAATTAAAATGCTGGCTTGTTATTGATATTTTTGTTTCCACGACAATATCACTAAATTTCTAGCTTACGATGGGTTCTTTTTGTCCTTTGGTCAAAATTGAATTTCGTACCAAGGTCCGCCACATTCCTAGATAACCTAGAAAATTCAACTTGTCTGATCTATCTTTCCTCTGATATTGCTTTCTGAATGGATAAACAGATCTTTGGATATGCTTGTGGATGTGAATCTGGCTGAAGAAGGCATATTGCATTTGCTTTTTACCTCTATTTATCGGATTTTCTGTAAAGCTGCAAGTGACAGTGAAGTGGCTTTGGCATCTAGGTATAGCCTCTTTGTACGAGATGCTTTGTCATTTGTTTTAATAATCCAATTGTTCATGTATTAAAATGTTATAATCCTCAAGAGAGGGCTTGTGTTCATTGTGTATTTATACACATTTACATGCATACATGGCTACATGAATTTATGCACGTGGTTATTATAGACACTACTTGTAGGATAAATGTATAATAAGTGTTTGTAGAATATGTACTTAGGGGGAAAAAGAAAAAAGAGAACACAGATAAAGGATTCTTTCTTGAGGAATACTTTTCTATTATAAAATCAGTACACCATTCAGCACTATTGTAAATGTGCTAATCCAATGCCCTCCTAATATGTGTTTCTTTCCACTTCATTTCTTTTATAGAAAAACTGTCAATATGTGTATGCTTAAGCCAAAAAGAATATAGTTGTAAACAGTCAATGATGCATGTCATGCTAAGATAAAACTAAATGAGGCGAATTATTTCTGGCTGTCATATATGAAATAGAGGCAAAGTGTTTTCATTCTTTCTCTTTCTCAATCTTTTATGTGCTCAAAATTTCCTTTGGCTGTTGAATAATCATTCTTAAGAATGTCTAGCTCTTATTTTAGTGATGATAACTTCAGTGCTAGTTGTCTTCTTCATTATTATCCCATGCTTGCCCCTTTGATTTTGATGATGATGATGCCCTGCATGTTGTTTCTTCTAAGTCTTTATTTTTTGAGTGCTTTGACCTGAGAATATCTCCTATAACTCTTGCAACTTGCATCGAAACCTATGTTTCTCCAGGAAAGGCAGCACCATTGCTGTCTGAATGTTTCACACCATTTCATTTTGGAGGCGCCTGCCTCTTGACGTTCATCCCTTCATCATTGTGATTGATGGGTAAAGGACTGACTGCAGGTTTGCACTTAAGCCTGTAGAATCACAACACTCTATCATCAATTTATGTTCAAATTGTTTATGTTTTGCAACACCTCACGTTGGCCATTCTGTGATGTCTAAGCATAGGGTAACGTTTATAAATCTTTAGCCTTTATTGGCATAAGAATGCTATCAGAATCATGATTATGTTTGACCGTCCATCTGTGCTGCTCTATGTAATGTGTATGTATTCTCATGTAGACTTTGAATACAGGCTGCTGGCTCTTGCTGCCTCCTTTGCAACAAAAATGGTTCGAAGATATGGATTAGGAGAGCATAAAAAGGAAAAATTCCTATATGATGCTAAGGAGTTACAAATATCTTATGCAAAGCCACTTGAGAGAAAGAACAATCTTGATGAAATTGGCAACTCAAGGAGACTATCTGAGATGGCTCAATTCTTGGAGGTTATTAGAAATATCCAAGCCCAGCTGAGTTTGAAAGGTCGTAAGCTGGGTAAATCGGTATGATGGCTGATTTATCATCTATTATAACCATGAACATATATTAACATACTTATTGATATGTTAAATCTTTCTCTTTTTATAGATGGCAGGAGGTATGGATGCAGCAATTGTGACAGATATAGATGTGTCGCAAGATGATCCACTCCTTCCATCTTCTTCCATTGATGCTGTTTCACATGGGCTGCTAAATACCTCAGAAGCTCGGGTTAACTTACCCTTGACAGCTACTGAAGTGGCATTTGATAACTCCAAAACAATTGCATTATCGCCGCTAGAATCTGCTGTTGGTGAGGTAAATATGAATAAGTTTCCCGAGGCAGGTATTGTGCAGAATAGAACAGTTTCAATGGAAATCCCCAGTATTATGATTGCACGCTGGGCAATAGATAACATTGACGTAAAAGCAATGGTGAAAGATGCCTTAGACTCAGGTCATCTCCCATTGGCGGTTCTTCAATTGCACCTTCTGCAGCAGAAAGAACTAGTATCTAGGGAAGATTCTCCTGATACTTTCAGTGAAATTCGCGAGATTGGGAGAGCAATTGCTTATGACCTGTTTCTGAAGGTATATGTGGTCCAACTTCAATGATGCTGACTCCATTTTTTCCCTTCGCTGAGATAATTCGAGCTGCTGGGAAAGGTTCTTTTCATGGTTATGAAAGCTAACATATTGTGATTGACAGGGGGAAAGTGGACTAGCTGTGGAGACCCTGTTGAAACTTGGAGAAGATGTTGAAGTCATCCTTAGGGAATTGTTGTTCAGTACAGTGAGAAGGTCACTTCGGAAACAAATTACTGAGGAAATGAATAAGAACGAAAACCTGAGACCTCACGAGTGGAAAATATTGGAGCGAATTTTTCTTATTGAGGTATGCCATTCTTCATTGAATTTGCATTAACTGCTTGAACATGTTTTTCTCTTTTGTTCCTAGCAGATTTTTCTTTCTAATCAAATTACATTATTTCATATATTGTGTATAAAGAGGCTATATCCAAGTTTTAGTTTCTGGGAGACATTTCTTGAAAGGCAGAAAGATGTTTTTGGAGATGCTTCAGTCTTTACCTTGCCTGGTGCGAACGGTTTGAAGTTGAATTTTCATGTCCACGACAATCTTATCCTCGAATGTGGTGATATTGATGGAGCTGTTACTGGTTCTTGGGCCACTGTGGCTGGTGGCTCTCCTGAAGTTTGTGAAGCTAGTCCTCGCGCTGGGTACTGGGTTTGTGCTGCTATATGGTCTTATGCTTGGGACCAACGAACTGTGGACCGTGTAAGTTACATTTTTTTTTCATTACCTGTAATTAGTCCTTCTAGTCTGAGTTTGCACTTACTTCTCAGGGCAATCATTAATTATAGCAATTATCAACAGCACGTTGGACACTAATTTCTAACTAATAACCATATGAATATTGCATCCCCCAAAAAAAAATCACCCCACCCACACGTGTGTATAAAGAGAAATGGGTATGCTTGGTACCAAACATAAACTTTGTGCTTGATAATGAGATGACTCATTTTAATATCGACTTATAGAGAAAATTAATTTTCTTCTCGATTGTATTTCTATCAGACTATAACCCTTCTCTTTTTTTCCTTGGAAAGTTAGAAAGAGAAGATTTTTTTTTTGAGCAACTGACGCTATGACATCAAGTTTAAAATTAGAATACATGATTAATCCGTAATTTAAATCTTTTTGCCCTTATCTATTTCACCATTCCCAGCTCTCTCTCTCTCTTCTCTCTCTCTCTCTCTCTCATTTTTTTACAATAAAAGAAATGAAAATATCAAGGAACTTTCACTAATCTTCTTTTCGATTTTTTACCTAAGGAAAAAACAACCCATTTTAGTATTCTCTCTTATTATTGTTGTTTTAAAAAATGGTTTGGGTGCCCACCTAGGCGGTCGCTTAAAGCGAAGCGGTACCTAAGCTGACCGTCTAAGTCTTAGGAGCTCTTAGGGTAGAACTGACTGCTTACGAGGACTAGACATTGTTAGAAAGAGGTATAAGCTTGCTTAAGCATAATAGTGGTTGAAAAGAGTTAGTGAGGTTAAAATGTACCAGGGATCAAAACTCTATGTTTAAGTCAATCTCAAATAAAACAGCGATAATGTGATTTGAATCTTCAAAAATGATCATTCTTCTCTCGATGTTAGAAAACGACTAATGCTATTAAGCGTCCGCCTAAGCCCCTGGGCGCTAGGCCCTAGGTCTGGTGCCTAGAAACGCCTAGCGCTTTCTAAAACATTGCTTATTATTCAATAAAGTAAATGAAAAAAAGACCGGTGAATTTGTTAATTTCAGTTTTCTTTTTTCATTTCTACCAAAAAAAGCAAAAGAAAGAAAGAAGTAGCATGGATATGAATGGAGATAAATAGTTAGACCCATAAGATGTTAATTTGCAACGAATTAAGAGAGGGATTTAAGGAAGAAAGAGAAACTAAATGAGATATTTAAAGATTTTGTGTGATATAAAAATTATCTCCTATTTATTAGAACTAACCTATGAGAGTGTAGATTTCCAATGGCTAAAAAGTTTAGGAGATTCTCTCTCCTAGGAGGAGAATGACCTCTCTCTGTTTGTATGTGTGTGTATATGTGTCAGTGGGTGTATATATTACATACGTACATAGTGCACGTGGCTTGCACGTGTGCGTACTTATTTTATAATCTATATTTTTTTCTTAGGGAAAAAGGAATTAACTTAAAAAAAAGGATTTAAAGTAAAAGATTCAGGAATAAGTTTTGAGCGTTTACACAAAATTTCTTAAGACAATATATTTAATTATTAGATTTTCAATCATTGAAATATATAATTTTATACTGGAGTTACATTCTTTTCGTTTCCGTTGAAATTTTACTTTCTGAATTGCTCAAATAGCTAAATGACTTTTGTGACAAAGTTGATCATATTTAGATTTGAAAATTACATATTATCCCCTTTATATGAAATAGTTTCTACTCCTTTATTTTCATACACTATTGTACCCTTAAATTTCTTGAGTTTACATCATAAAAATATCAAATTTCCAAAAGTATATTATAATATAGTCGTAATTCCTTTTATAAAAATCCGAAATAGTTAACATATACAATTTGTTTTAAATTTAATTATTAAATCTAGACTTTGTTCATGCCTATAGTTTAATTTATACACCGACTTTTAATCTATTTGATACAAATTTTAAAATTTAATTTCATCAAATTGTCTTGTAGAAAGGTTTGGTATATCAGATACATGTATACAAATGGTTACTATAAGGGTAAATTTCACAACCCCCCTTAAGTTAAATCTTTTTTCAGATAACCCCCTAAAATTTTGAAATATCACCTTTATGTTTTGTCAGATAGATCCCCTTACTAAAACGATTATGTCTTGCTATGCTGCAAAAGTGACATCTGTCCAATTGATCAAAGTGGCTCTAATGGAAGAAAATAAAAGAATCATTCTTTTTAATGATTTAAAAAGAAAATTTCACAAAACCCATTTAAGGTTGTTCCGAGTTTGACCAAAGTCCCCATGCTTGGAAATTTAATTAATTTAATTTGGCAATCAAAGGGTTAATTTGAAATTGGTAGTTCATCTAATAATGTTTTTTTGTAGGAGGTTAGTTAAGACATTAAAAAATTTTGGTGAGTTTTTCAGAACACCCTACATTTAAGAGGGTTACATGACACTTTTAAAGTTTTTAAGCATTAGTCAAAATCGCCAAATTTATAGGGTTAAAATTTTCCCTTAAAAAAATTTAAAATATTTCAACAATCAACATCACTGATATAAATAACGATATTGCGGTGCTAATAGCGTTAGCGGTCTCTTCCCGTTACGCTATCGCCTAATAGTGGTGATATGTTGCGGAATATGTGCTTTTCACTCACAAAAGCGGTCAATAATACGCGATAGCGGTGAATAGCTGGTGTTTGCGGGCAAAATCCGCTTTTTCATTGCTATTTAAAAACGGTTTGAGGTTTATTTTTTTAAAATTAAACATGACCCGCAACCACTGCATCCCACCGTCTTCCGCGATTTTCGGCGTACTCCAGCTACCTCCCACAGCCTCTGGCACCTTTCTTAACACTTCCTCTCACCTCTCACTACAGTCCTCTCACCGCTCAGCTCCTCTTCTCGAAGACGACTGTTTGACTCCTCCCGTCATCTTTAGTATTATGTAACGACTAGATGTCCATTTCATGTTTAAGATGTCTTTAAATCACCACATATGCACTTTTAAATTTTCTAGTTTTTTCTTTAATTTTTTTGAATATTTATACATATCTAAATCAGACCGCTATTTAACTTTGCGCTTTTTACCGCAATAGCCCTAAACAGCCTTAGCGATGCCTCATCACTACGCGAGACTATTTGCTATTGATAACCTTGATCAGCGTTAAAATATAATTTATATATATTAGTCTTATTTAGACTTTAATTTAGCATTCAACATTCAAATTAAGTACAAATAAAATTTCCATATATATTAAAGTAAGTGTTAATTTCGTATAAACCCCTTGAACTTTGTTGGATTTATCATATTAACCCCCTTTTCCCTCCAAGAACTTTATTTGTTACCTTACGAATGAAATATAATGATAGAAAATAAAGTATATTTTATGTAAGAGTAGTTTCCTTTAGTTTTTGTGATCTTGATTTTTTTAAGATTAGATTGTTTAGGAGTTAATTAGTTCACTGTAACTATAACATATATGCAATTGTAGTATTGTTGTAGACATTGTTGATGTAGTTACTTAGATTTTGTGTTAGAAGATTACAAATTTTTTTGCAAATGTAGTTATAGATGTTCAGTTTAGAGTGTTAGGGTTTCCGTTAGGAGTTAACTATGAAAATTACAAAGTTTCCTTTGCACTTCAAAACTATTACAATTATATTCTAATGTGACAAACGTGTTTATTGACATGAAATTACGCAATTGATACAAAATCTTCCACTTGCATGCATTGCCTTTGCAATCCTTCGAGCAAACCAAACATCTTCTTAAGCCTTTCAATTAAAATTGCCTTAAATTGTTCATTATAGTATTTCAGTTCTAATAAAATAAGATCTCATTAATAACATTACATACTAATCATATCTCTCATAAGCAAACAAACCTCACTATAAACCACTAAACTTCTAATTATTCATCCATCCGAAGACCAACATCTGTCTCAACAGAGATGTCGCTGTCCTGTCGTCGTGGCATCATAAAATCCACCAAGCTATTCCCTTTCACATCCGTAAATTTGATGTGGTTGAGCCTTAACGGCCAGCAACGATGTGTGATGTTTCCCTATCCTTCAGCAGTCGAGGCCTAGGTGTGATACATCATTTTTAAAGAAAAGTGCGATCTCGTCATAGTATGATTAGGACTATGCCATTGTGATCCAGCAATCTGTGAGGCTAACACCACAATCCCTGAGGGCGGTGGTAAGAGGGATTGGAGAGAATTTGGATTTTTACAGGGGAGGTCGTTAGCCTTGATGAGAGAGGGACGCTGAGGAGAAAAGGGAAGCTTTGGAGGAGAGACATTTTCACATTTTGATCGTAGAGTGATTTGTAAGAGGAGGGAGAAGGGAGAGGGGTAATTGTAAATGAATTTGAAAGTTTCTTTCGGCTATGAGATGAGAAGATGAAGGGAGTTTGAATTGAAAGATGAGAGTAATTTTTTGTTTGGGGGGTGGGGTTTTTTTTTTTTTTTGGGNGGAAGATGAAGAGATTTATTCTCTTAAGAATGCCTTAATTAGTCTCATCCTTTTACTAACATGCTCATCATTGATTCTGAATATTTTGTGTTAATTCAAGGTGATAATATTTGAAAAATCACCTAATCACTGAAACAAATAGTTTCTTAGGCAGAGAACCCATTTTCAATCATAATGATACTTTACATTTAATATTGTAGTAGTGGATTGGTTATGTCATGAATTTATTAATTGAAGGGCATCGTTAGATGAACTTTGAAGATGTATTGAGAAATTAAAAGTTTTAACACCCATATTCTCTTTTATATGTAGTGTGTATATATATAGATTTAGTATTGTTTAGTTGGGTTAGTGGGTATGAACCTGCATTGAGTTATTATCTGGTTGTATCTTTATATCTTACTCCTCAAATTAATAATCTATTAGAGTATTTTATAAGGTTGTATCAGAACAGTTGTATGAAATATGGTTCAATCCTAATTCCTAAGGCCTCCATCCTAAGATCAAACTAATCTCTGCCATACAATCATACAATCCACAAAACTCTAATCCTAACATTTTCTCTTATCACT